CGAGCCGAACTCAATCGATAACTTCGATCAGCTCACTAACGCCTTCATGAAACAATACTCGACCCATATCCTTAAGCAAGCCTCTGAGGCCGACCTTTGGAAGATCAGGCAAGGAATGGGGGATTCGCTACGAATCTACATCGAGAAGTTCAGAGCAGTTAGAACTAAGCTCTCAAACCCCAACGATCAAGTGGCCATCGAAGCTCTTAGAAGAGGTCTCTGGTATAAATCAGAGTTCTGGTCCGAGCTAACGCTTAACCCTCCTCCAACTATCGACGACGCTCTTCACAAAGCATCGAGATACATTACCTTGGAGGAAGAAACAGCTGCATTGGATAAAATCCATAAGAAATCCCAGAATCACCCGAAAGGCAAGACCTCGGAAACGAAAGGACCCTCTAGGAAAGGCAGCTCCCGAAACCATCAAACCCAGGGAGAACACTCGTATGTTGTCGACGAAGTCCAACAGGAAAAACCTGTTGCTGCGACAAACAAAACTCCCTGGACAAAAGGCTACGATGAGAACAAAAACTGCTCTTACCACGATCGAAAAGGGCACTCAACCGAGGAGTGTTGGGACCTCCAACGACAGTTGGCAGCTAAATTCGTAGCTGGTGAACTAAAGGACGTGGAGCTAAAGAAGCCACCTCCTTACCAGAAAAGAAATCCCAGAGACACCTCCCCAAAACGCGAAAGATCTCCTGAAAAGGAAACAGATTCGCCACCGCCGGCTCCCAAGAAAAGAGTCGACATGACTCTTGGGAAATTTCCCCAAGGGAAGAGTCTACAAATCGAGACCCTCCTAAGCAAACCCCCACCTCAGTCGAGCCCTAGCTCAAGAGTGGACTATATCCTCGGAGGCTCCGATATATGTCAAGACTCAGTCAAATCGATCAAGAGCCATGTGCGGAAGGCTGTATCTAAAGCCCAATCTAAGCCTCCCAGTCCCGAAACCAATACCAAGATCTCTTTCTGGGAGAGCGAGACGTCAGACCTCGACAGATCTCACGATGACGCTTTAATCTTCACCCTAAACATAGCAGGTTACGAGGTGCCTAAGCTGATGGTCGATACCGGAAGCTCGGTCGATCTTATCTTCTATAATGCCCTGAAAGGGATGGAAATAGATGACTACGAAACTATCGGTCAGAAAGCTAACCTTGTGGGTTTCTATGGGGAAACAGTTACCTCCCTGGGAACCATCAAGCTCCCGGTTATAGCTGGAGGAATCATGAAAATGACCAATTTTGTGGTCATCGACAGGCCTTCTCCATTTCATGCGATCCTAGGAAGACCTTGGATCCATAAGATGAAAGCAGTAGCCTCCACCTATCACCAATGCATGAAATTTCCGACACCAGACGGAATAACCACTGTACGAGGTAGCCAGAAGATCTCTAGGATCTGTTACTTGGGGGGATTTGGAATCCTCAAGGAATCACCTCAATAGCAATTACAGATCCAGGAAGGTCGAGAGATGCAACAAAATATTCGAGGTCCCCCTAGGAACCTAACCGAACGAGTTAGCATCGACGACTCTGATCCCGAGAAACAAGTGAATATCGGATCAGAGCTACCTCTCGAAACGAAAAAGGAACTGATCGACTTCCTGAAAAGCAACG